TTAACTGGAACCGCTGCAGCTCGGCCAAAGCCAGGAAGGAAAACAGCAAACAGAGCAAGTGAAAGAGAGACTCAGATTGGTTATTTTTGAGGGGGAAACACTTGGGTAGCGTCTCCCCCCTAAACCCCCCCCCCCATTACTCTAATCATTCCATACTGGTTTCCCTCCCACATCCTCTCGGCAAAGTTCTCCCCCCCCACACACACACACCTCCACCATTCATCAGGGAGAGGACTTTCGGCCACATGAAGCAAAACGGAATAGCATTTGTAGCGGTTTAAAAAAAAAAAGGCATTCCCCTTTAACGAAAACACCAGGCCTTTCTGCATTCTTCAGGCAAATTATGCATCTATAAATCTCAATTGAGAGTCCCTTGGACTGCAAGAAGAACAAATCAGTCAATCCTAAAAGAAATCAACCCTGACTGTTCCCTGGAAGGCCAGATAATGAAACTGAAGCTCAAATACTTTGGCCCCCCAATGAGAAGGGAGCACTCACTGGAGAAGACCCTGATGCTGGGAAAGATTGAAGGTCAAAGAAGACGGGGACGGCAAAGGATGAGATGGTTGGACAGTGTCATGGATGCAACGAACATGAAGTTTAGGAAACTTCAGAGGACGGCGGAAGACAGGAAGGCCTGGCGGGATCTGGTCCATGGGGTTGCGAAGAGTCGGACTCGACTGTGCGACTGAACAACAACAAAATCTCAATACGTGTCCAGCAGTGTTTCCCTTTTCCCCGGTGTTTTAAGATACCCCTCTTTGCAGTAAAACACAATTTTTTTTAAAAAAGGGGGGGAGGCTGCAGAACCCCCGAGAGAGTTGGCTAGCAAAGTCCAGACGCCTCCCCCGCTTTGGATTCCACCAAACTGCCTGAGCAGGGTAAGGAATTTTAATTCCCCTTTGTCTTAAATGGCTGGGTGGCACTGGTCAGGAACAGACCAGGGAAAGCCAGGGCGGTCTAGCAGATCTGGGAGTCCTAAGATCAAACTCGTGCTCTGGCAAGGAAGCTCACCGGGTGACCTTGGATCAGTCACCGAACTCTCAGCCTAACCTACCTCACAGGGCTGTTGTGAGGATGAAATGGAGGAGAGGAGAAGGATGTGAGCCGCTTTGGGCCCGCGCCGAGGAGAAAAGGGGGGCATAAATGAAATAAACAATTAAACATGCTCTGCCCCATACAATGTTCAGTACTGGGAAAGAGGATTTTTTATGCCAGAGAAAAGCCTGCCAAGTTCATGCTATGCACACAACTTTAAAGAAATGTTACACAGATGTACCATCAGACAGTTCTTGGACGAATGAAATTTAAGGAAACCTTTTTCTAAGGCAGCCGGGAAGGACACCCGAATAACAGTCCGGAAGAATGTCTTCTACCGCAATGTGGAAATCACACCACATTTCACTGAAACATACAGATAGGTCCCCATCAACACTCCCTCTAAGCTGTGGAGCCTCGTGAGCGAAAATTCAACTTTGTGAGCTACTGGCATTCAAGTTGTGAGCGAGCCATTTGGCTCCTGCACAGATTAGTTTGCTCTGGAGCCCTCCTTCCTGAGCAAAGACAAAAATGTGTGAGCCGGAGGCTAAAAAAACTGTGAGCTGGCTCACACTGACTCAGCTTAAGAGGGAACACTGGTCCCCATTATCTTTAAAAAAGGTGCCAGCCCAGTGATTTTTAAAATCAGTCCTTGTTTTGAAACAGTCCATGTTTTCTTAGGATAAGGCCAGAAGGCCAGAGTGCTTTTAACTCAGCTGTCTTTCAAAAAGGAAGAGAGAACTTTGTTATGTGCACCCCACACCCATTATAAGTTAGATAAGTGACTGCAGCCTCTTCCTGAAGATAAAGCAACCTAAGTGCACCTGATAACAGCTCTTCCGAAGTCTTGCTCAAACATACCTTCCAACTACCTAGAACTCCAACAGTGTACCAAGAGTAGAGAAGACTAGAAGTGCTACAGACCCCCTCTGAAAGATCCAACCAAACGTAAACACTTCTTCAATCTCAGGGGGGTGTCCATGGAAAAAGCAAAGAAGGTGCTTGGATCCCTCCCACCGAAATAAGCAACCCTTTCAAAGACAGCCTCTCCTGTTAGGAGAATTTTAAGGGCCTCCGCTTGTAGGTGCTCAACAGGAGTGATTAGCAAAGTCAGGCCAAATGCAAAATAAATGCTCCTTCCCCTTTAATGATAGGTTCAGCTTGGCCTACGGAGCACCCCCACGGCCCTTTGTGAGCGCTCTCCCCGTCCTCTCCTCATTAAACATCTACTATTACACGGCAACGCAAAACCACACCAGCAGACACTGGATTTTAAGAGCTCATCCCCCCCCCCTGCCCTTCTTAGAAATTCTGGTACAGTGAAGTTCAAAACTCAGAATTGGAGGGGGCAGAATTTGTCTACTTTAGGGTCTGTTCACTGGCGGTCAGAATCTTTTGCGGGGAAATAGCTCCCACCCATTCTTCCTGTGCTTTGAGACGAAACTTTACCTAGAGAGCTCCTCCCAAAAAAGAGAAAAAAAAAGGCATTCCACCAGCAGGCCAGCTATGTTATTTCCTGCAAGCCCCCAAACCCCCAGTCCTCTCTCTTCCCCTCCCCTTTAGCGGCAGGCTAGACAGGCCAAGATGCTATCGACACAAAACCTTAAAGGGGGGGAGGCTCCTTTTAAAAAACAAAACAAAAAAAACTAGTGAGCAGTGACTCACAAGAGCTCATAACTCATGCTCCCTCTAAGCTATGGAGACCCTCTGAGCAAAAATTCTACTTTGTGAGCTACTGGTACCAAAGTTGTGAGCCAGCGACTTGGCTCCTGCATAAATCAGTTTGCTCTGGAGCCCTCCCTTCCTGAGCGAGGACAAAAATGTGTGAGCCGGAGGCTAAAAAACTGTGAGCTAGCTCACACCAACTCAGCTTAGAGGGAACACTGTTAACCTGCCATAAATTTTGTTAGTCTCCAAGGTGGTACTGGACTCTTGCTCCTCCCTTTCCTGATTTCGTGTCGCAGCCTGTGAAATTCCACCCCCTTGTGCGTAATCCTCGGGTTCCCCCCCCTTTAAACATACCCAGAATTAAACTTTGTTGGATTTCAAGCTGAACTCAAACTTTCTTCTGTTGCTTCAGGCCAACCTGGCTACTCACCTGAATCTAATATCCTTCTACTGTTTTTCTTTCTCTCTCTCCACTTTGCAACCAATGCTGCCACCTTCTTTTTGGTTCTACCCACCTTTCCCACAGGTCCGCCTTCCAACAAAAAGGCCAGACTGAAAATCAAACACCACCAAACGGCAAAGGGTCCTTCCTCTCCTCCTCTTCCTCCAACTCTGCTCATTTGATTAATTCTCATTAGTGCCCTTTGAACAGCTAGTATACTCCCCTCTGGAGTAACACAGGCTGGGCAGAGGTTACTATAAAACGAAAGCAAACAAGACTCGCTTAAGATAGGTTCAGGTGAGTAACTGTGTTGGTCTGAATTGGCAGGATGAAGTCCAAGTCCTGCCGGCACCTTTAAGACCAACAAAGTTTTATTCAAGGTATAAGCTTCCGTGTGTGCTCCATGTATCTGAAGAAGTGAGCACATGAAAGCTTATGCCATGAATTCACTTTTGTTGGTCTTAAAGGTGCCATAAGTAGGGTATTGCTGAATGCAATTCCTGGGGAAACACACACAAACAAGTACACAAAGAGGAAAAGAGCCTACATACTTTGGACATTCCAGTCAAGGGCAATGAACTAAGCACAATCATCCCACGAAGCCGAAATCCAGCAAGGACTCCTTGGCAAAGGATAAACTACCTTCCCATGGCACACGAGTCTAGACAAGTACTTTCTTGGCATACGCAAGACAAACACCGAGAGTCTACGTTCAGAAGAAGAAACCTCGTTTTCAGACGCTCGCTTTCACGGTTAAGTCCTACTGACTTTGATTTGGACTTCGCCGTGACCAGAATTGCAGCCATAAACATTGCAAGCAAAGTCAGGGAGTCGCAAAAAGGGTCCTGGGGAAACAGCGTTCCCCCCCCCCCTTGCATGCTGGAACCGCGAGCCGCCGAAACGTTTTTGCACCCCACCTCCAGAGCCTGAAACCAGCCTCGGCTTGCACCCTTGCAAGAACACACAAACACACACAGACACACACCGAGCCCGCTTGCTCTGGCACACCCATGCAGTGGACAACTATATAATTTAGCTCTCAAAGCATAAATCACACAGTCAAGACAGTGCCCTCAGCTAAATGCTGGGGTGCAGCTACCAGAAACTCAGCAGCCTTGGTCTAGCATCACAACTGGGTCTCTCCACCGTGGTAGATGGATATGGGATTTGCTGGTTGCGGAGCTGAAAGACAGGCTTCGTGCTGCAGACAGAAAGATGCGGCTTCTCCTAACCCTTCTATGTCGTCGCGTAAAATAACCCTGCCACGTGATGGCGTCACATAAAACTGTTGTGCCACAGAATCGAGGGGCCACGAGAGAAGCAGCTTGCTCGTGTGGCACCCCCAAGGCGTCCTGTCTGCAGAGTTCCCCAGCTACCGTCAGCAAAAATCCTCCTGTTTGGTAGCTACCATAACTAGGTCAACCCCAGGCAGCGTGCCGCCTATGAATATGAAATCATTTTCCAACCCTGTGTAGGGCCAGTGCCTGAAGACTGGATGGCAACGCCTACCAGACAAGGCCATTTCTTCCCGCTCTCATAGCTGACTGTAAATTTCTATAAAACTGCATTTCCCCCCCTTCCTTAGCATGACTTTTGCATTGCCCAAGGAGCAGGAATGAAGCCGATTTACTTGTGCCTTTGTTCGTTTCTGCAGTCCAACTTTCTTCCCAAGACTTAAGACTTGTGATAAGTTATGGATTCTTGGCCACAAACTGACCAAGGAGGCCATTTAAGCTACATCAGAGCCAACCTGCTCTGTGACGGCATATGCGTCTACAAGATCCAAACTGCTCTTTCAAGCTGTCTTTGAAACGTACAATGATACAGGTACAAACAAAACCCTGTTCCTTACCTGAAAGCCCCGCAGGGGCCAGATAATTTGTTCCCCCTGTCTCAGTGGAGGAAGGCACAGAGTCTGGACAACTTGCTGAAACAGAAAAGGAAAAGAAAAAGGGAAACGAATTAAAAAAAGAAGCATGATGTGCCAATCTTTAGAAAGGAAATTAAAAAAAATAAAAAAGCTCACTGCAAACAATGTCTCCAGACAAACGAAGCACATTCCATGGCATTTAGCAGGAAGTTATTACTAATTGTCTGCACAGAGACGGCGCAGTTCTTCATGATGCATCCACCCTAGCTCATCACCCGTGTCTAGGATCCGCTGTACCACTTAATCACCCTCCTCAGTGAGCAGAAGATTACAGGCTGGCTGGCTGGGATCTCCCTCTCCTCGCTCTCACCCCCTTCCCCCTTCCTTTGCCAAGTTGGTTTTGAGTTCCTGCTAGTCACCCCGGTTATTGAAATCCAGGTTGCCCCGCCTAGAATGATAAAACTAGAATGATAAAAGGGTTGGAACACTTTCCCTATGAAGACAGGTTAGAACGCTTGAGGCTCTTCAGCTTGGGGAAATGACAGCTGAGGGGTGACATGATCGAGGTTTATAAGATTATGCATGGGATAGAGCAGGTTGACATTAAGACCTTTTCTCCCTTTCTCACAACACGAGAACTTGTGGGCCTCCCATGAAATTGCTGAGCAGTCGAGTTAGAACGGATAAAAGGAAGTCCTTCTTCACCCAAAGAGTGATTAACACTTGGAATTCACTGCCACAGGAGGTGGCGGCGGCTACAAGCATGGACGGCTTCACGGGGGAACTGGATAAACATATGGAGCAGAGGTCCATCAGTGGCTATTAGCCACGAGGTATAGATAGGAACTCTCGGTCTGGGGCAAGGGATGCTCTGTATTCGTGGTGCTTGGGGGAGGGGGCAACAGTGGGAGGGGCTTCTAGTGTCCTGGCCCCACTGCTGGACCTCCTGAGGGCACCTGATATTTCTGGCCACTGTTGTGACAGAGTGTTGGACTGGATGGGCCACTGGCCTGATCCAACATTGGCTTCTCTTATGTTCTTAAGCTGTATATCAGGACCCAAAGGGAGTTTGGAGCACTGCTCTCTTAGACTGGAGCTGGCGATGCGAACTGACAGTGGGGGGGGGGAGGACGACCGCCCAAGAGGGGCCAGGACACTAGAAACCCCTCCCCCTGCCTCTCAAGCACCAAGAATACAGAGCATCACCGCCCCAGACATAGGCTGCGGTCACATGAGCCAGCTGAAGCAGAGGGGGAAGCGAGGTTATTCCCTCCAGCGAAATTTGACCCGCGGTTGCGAGATCATACAGCCCTTTTGTTTCTGTGGGCTCAGCCCATCACAGTGTGATCAGACACAACTGCGGGTGAGTCAGAGGGGGGGGTTTGCCGCTTGTTTCCCATGCGCACAAACAAGGAATCGCACCTCCGCACTGAGGACCCCGTATGGGTATGCGATGATGCGCATGCTGCGAAGAGGGGAGAAAAAATGGCACCGAGCGTGGATGGCCTGATCAGACCACCCCAACGGCTTGGAAGCATGCTGGCGCGATCAGACAGGGGGAAGTCCGCCCATGGCCCGTCACAACCCGTTTACTACCGGATTTTCTCCGGTGTCTTTTTACTCTGCTTCTGCGGTGGAGCAGCGCAGGTTGCCGACGACTGCGGGACGCTTCCCAGATGTTGCTGTCTGATCGCGCCCTTTCGATCCATTGGGCATGCGCGCCTAGGTCGGATATTCTGGTGCGTGTGATCGCAGCCATAGAGTTCCTTGTGGCGAACAGCCACTCAGGGACCTCTGGCTCCATATGTTTATCCACCCCCTCTTGAAGCGGTCTATGAGAGCATAAGAGAAGCCATGTTGGATCAAGCCAGTGGCCCATGCAGTCCAACACTCTGCATCACACAGTGGCTAAAACCAAAGTGCCATCAGGAAGTCCACCAGCGGGGCCAGAACTCAGATTTCTTCCCCCCCCCCAGTGTGATCTGCACCAGAACCAAACAATGCACGAAAGTTAACTTCCCAAGAGCTTCTAAAACCTGCAAACTCCAACGCCATTAACAGAATCGGTTTTCAGAAGATCACAGAACACAGAATAAACTGGATCCAGATTCCTGAAACAAAAATCTAACCCTGCACCGTCCGGGGCAGAAAGAAAGGAAATCAAAAGCCAATCTAACTCTGCAGCTGACCTTCAACTGCTGGCATCATGTCAATATTTCCTTTGGCGATGCAAAATTTGGCCAAGCGGTACACAACACGGGACAACGAAAACATGGATGCAGACACAAACATACACATGGAGTCAGCCCCTTCTTTTTACCCACCCACTCCTAGAAGTTGTTTTTTTCAAGAAATGACTCCTGAAAAGATAGGGAAAGAACCCATGTTATGTGTGCGTACGAGGCCGTGCAATCTCACTTTATCAGAGTCAAGTATAACCCCGAACAGGAATATACAGTTTAACAGGATACACTTAATCAAACTGAAAACAATAGGGCAGACAGGAAATTGAGTTACTTATGAAATATCCTATGCTATACGCTTTCTAAATGTACACTGTTTTCTATGTTCTAAGGAAATAGCTTGTTAAAAAAAATTTATTAAAACTGTTTTTTTAACTAGGCAGTCACCCCTCTGTATCTTGCCTTACTTCCAATGAAAAATTCCTTCGGATTCCCAGAAACCACCTCTTTGGTCTTCGTCAACATAGTACAATGAACTTGGCCTGTATCCACTTCAGGTAGCCCCCATGACAGAATATGTCCTCAAAAAAATGCCCAGCACACAGATTGTCGGCACACTAGGACAACCAGAACCCCCACCCCCTTAACATCTCGTTTTCCATAGGCATGAAATTATTTGTGTCAAGGAACACCAGTCGTGGAAGGCCGCCATCTTTGTTCCAAAGTGCCACAGCTCCTCCGACATAGATCTTATTACCTCACTGAGCCCAAGTCCCATGTTATGAATTCCCAACCCCATGTTAAAATGGTACACCATTTGCTTCACAAACCATGTAAGCTTTTCTCCCAGCCTGGTTTGGTCCAACTTGCGGCTTCCTCTCTCAAGGACCAAGGAAAGCCAGGATCCAAACTGGTGGGCCTTAGGACACTCACTACCACACAGCCAATCCTACTCCACAGTATAACTGTAATGATAAAATATGATGACACTCCTCCCCCCCCATACCCTGCCCTAAATCCACTGGAAGACTAGGAAACAGATGTGACAGACAGACATGATTTCTACAGCAAATTTCTTGCGCAAACATGACGGTTAAGAAATAACTAGGTCCAATGATGTTAACATCTAAACTCTCCAGACAGTGCAAGTTAATACAATTCTTTGGGGGTGGAAAGTAATTTCAAGTCCCAGTGTTCCCTCTAAGCTGAGTTAGTGTGAGCCAGCTCACAGTTTCTTAGCCTCTGGCTCACACATTTTCGTCTTAGCTCAGGAAGGAGGGCTCCAGAGCAAACTGATTTATGCAGCAGCCGAATCGCTCGCTCACAACTTTAAGGCCAGGAGCTCACAAAGTAGAATTTTTGTTCACAAGACTCCACAGCTTAGAGGGAGCATTGGTCACGGCTGACTTCTGGCAACCCCTCGTCAGGTTTTCGAGGCAAGAGATGTTCAGGGGTGATTTGCCATGGCCTGCCTCTGAGTGGCCACCCTGGCCTTCCTTGGTGGCCTCCCATTCAAGAACCAACCAGGGCTGACCCTGCTTAGCTGTTGAGATCTGATGAGATCTGGCTAGCCTGGGCCAACCAGGTCAGCGCACCATTCCTTACAGGAGACTATTAGAAATAAACAAGAAGGGGGGACCTGCGATACTCACGGGGGGGGGGGGGGGACTCCACGGGGGGGGGGG